AGCACTGGAGGGTATCAGGAGATGGACAGAGGATGTGCTAAAGCAGGTGGGATCTTGGGAGGTGTGGTAGGTCCAGGATGGGGGGATGTCACCTTAATAACAGAGTTGGGTTCTTTTACAGATCTGACAGTTGCAGCCCCTGGTTTTTTGAGCTGTAAACACTTCCAAGCTGAATATTTTTTCACCTCAACAAAAAACAGATTTTCCCAGGATCACAAAACCAGGAAGGCTCCTTCCCAATCCCACAGCTAAAGAAATAACCAAGAGGCAGGGAACAGAACATTTCTTGGAGAAATGCCTGTTTTTCCCACCACAACCTTTAATATACAGCCCTGGGAAGCACAGAAGTAACTCAGCTTCACAACAAAGACAATTCTTGACAATGCTCCTCCTGGGGCTTCCCAGGAGGGTTATTTCCACACAGGACAGACCATGTGGATTAAAAAAAACAAACCCAAACCATGAAGGGCTGGAGGAGCTTCCATTTATTCCTCCTCCTCCATCCCCAACTGCCACAGCATTTGCCCACAGCCACACTGCACCAGCAGAGTCTCCAGCCCTGCCTTCAGCCCCAAAACTTCCCTGCTTTTTCCCCACCCTGGCCTGGTTCATCCTGTGAGATTAAAGAAGCATTTGCTCATTTTTCTATAGGTATCTAACATCTTCTTTTTCCTGCCCTTTTCTCAGCCAGGCTGGAGCAAAGCCTGGGCCAGCACAGCCCAAGAAGGGCTCCTGCCAGAGGTTGGCAGCTTGCAGGACATGTTCACCTGCTGGTGCAGTCACAGCTCCAAGCACAGCACAGACACCACCTGCCCCTTGGAACCACCTGGCAACACAGAAGAGCAAAAGCTACGTGGGAAAGGGCTACAAAGGGACTTCTCTGGAGCATCCAGGCACAGCCTGCTCTCCTCCTGGTGACTCCTGACCCTGAGAAGGGGCAGGGCAGCTGAGTGCTCCTCATGGGTGTGCAAGCACAGCCACACACAGCCCTGGCAGCTCTCCCATCCTTACACACTGCCCCTTGGCAAAGCTTTGGATACAATGGGCCTCAGGAGTCTGGGAGCTGTAGGACTATTCTCCTCCCCTGAATTCCAGCAGTACTTGCACCTCAGGAGGACAGAAGTGTCTGTAGGACAGCCTTCCCACCCAGCTGGAGCAGTTCAGCTTCTGCTGGCATGGGCTGAGCTCAGTGCTATGCACAGCAGGGTGACCCAACCAAGACTTCACCTTCAGGGTCTCTTGTCACATCTGCAGTTAGGACATATTTGTTCAGGTATTTGAAGACTTGGCCAGGAACCAGGTATTTCCTCAGCAAAGTGAGATAAGACATCCAGAATGGCTTAAGGACCTCTAAGCCCACATGAGCCTCAATGCATGGAACCAGCCACTGCTTCCCACCTCCCCTGCCCCCATGCATTTGCTGTCAACTCCTCTGGTGACACCAAATCATAAAATGAACCTCCAAGACCATCCAGTCCCAACCCCCTGCCATGGGCAGGGACTCCTCCCACTAGACCAGGTTACTCAAAACTCCATCCAACTTGGCCTTGATGGGATTTGTTTCTTTTTTTCCTGTTCAGTCAATAACTGGGGACTGATCTGGAGACAACAGCAGCTACTCCTCCAGAAGAGCAACTCAACATCTCATCACAGGCTTGAAAGCACCTGCTAGTCCAGAAACAACCCACACCCCAGGAGATAGAGCTCATGCCACTGCCTTGTGTGATGCCATCACCTCCAAGTCACCCAGGACACCACCACTCCAAAGGATAACACTGTGCTTTAATGCTTTAGAGACAATGAGTTTCCATGTGGTACAACAGGCTGTACATTCTACACCCCTACAGACATCTGGGTGTAGTTAAAGCTTGTGTATTTGAACAATACCAATGGTCCAAAAACCACACTAGGTCTTACAACAACAAAAATGTGAACAAAATCCAAGGCCACGAGGAGAGAGAGACATGTTTTAAGGACTACAGGTCACATCAAAATGAAACACAGCCATGGTGCAACATGAACTTTATCCAGAATAGAGATAAGTGGTTAAAATGCAACTTTTCATTATTTCGGGAACAAGACAGTGTTCTGCAGAGACTCAATTTCCAAACTGAAGCAAGCAAAGAGAAAGAGATGGACTAGTGTGTGCCCCTTTGGTCCTCAGATTCTCCTTCCAGGTGTTGAGCTAAAAAGAGAAAGAGTTTTACTCTGAACTTCAGGCAAGAAAGATTTAAGGCTTTTCAGCTGGGTATCTGAAACATACACAGAACTCAAGAGTGGCAATACCTGCTCTTGATCATTTAAGAACAACAAATGCCATGGAGTTGGTGTATTTTATAAATGTGCAACACACAGCTCATTTACACTAGCAGACAAACACTTGGATAGCACCTAACTCTACAGAATCCAGGACAGAGGATATTAGAAAGGATTTTTTCCAGTAATGCTGTGAAGGTCATCAAGGTAAGATCAGTGTAATTAAACACACAAGGTTGCTGCTCTTGAAAGTTCTTTAGGCCCAACAGAAATTTGCCCAGATGTGATTTTCATTTCATTTCCAACACTGGTTGAAGCAAGAGCCCAGAATGTTGGTAAGATGGACCTTGCCAGAACAGGAGCTGCCTTTGTGCTTAGTGTACAGAACATCTTGGATTCATATTGGGAAAAGCAGATACAACCATGGGAACCTGCAGTGTGGGCATCTGACACCCTGGCTGAAATTTTATTGCTCCAAGTTTTGCCTCCCATGCTTAGTTTGAAAAGGGTGGTTTTGATTTGTGCCTCATGTTTTCCCAATTAAGAGTTACAAAACACCCACTGGAATCCTAACAAAAGAGTTCAGCCAAGTCCAGCTGACTGAAAACTTTGTACCAATCCTGCCACATGCAGAGGTTGCCACATGCACAGAAAAAAAAAAAAGTGGTTTAATTCATTTTGATGGCCCTAGAAATTGGCTTTTTTCAGTTGCTCTGATTAAATAAGTTGCTGTCGCTTCAGGTTTCTTTGTCCTGAAATGACCTGCCCTCAGGCAGGAGAGGTACAATGTGCTGTGCTCAGGATTTCAGTGCTCACCTTTGGGCCAACATTTGAGAGATGCAAGCATTGAAATACCTGAAGAGAACTCTTCATTTTCAGATGACCAGACTTAGCCTTCTCATTCTAACCCACAGAAATTCCAAGAAGGAAAGTTCAAGATATAAATATCATTAAAAACCTCTTTGGATATCTTAGCACTCTGCAGACAGACTCAGGGTTTTTTTTTTCCTCCCACCCCCTCATGTTAAATTTTGCTTTAAATAGTAAGAAAGCTGAAGTGGTCAAACATTCTGAGGCACAGAGGAAAAAGGTGCACAAAACCCTTTACGTTGAGATAAGACTGTTCCCCAAATGATTTAGAAGTTGGTTTCCTGCATGTTAAGAGGCTAAGAAAAATGTGTTTTCAATTACTCAAAAGAACACACAAAAAACAGGAGAGTTAGCAAGAATGTAAAACACCACCAGAGGTAACATCTCAAAGAGGTATAACATACATATAACACTGGTTGAAGCAAGAGCCCAGAATGTTGGTAAGATGGACCTTGCCAGAACAGGAGCTGCCTTTGTGCTTAGTGTACAGAACATCTTGGATTCATATTGGGAAAAGCAGATACAACCATGGGAACCTGCAGTGTGGGCATCTGACACCCTGGCTGAAATTTTATTGCTCCAAGTTTTGCCTCCCATGCTTAGTTTGAAAAGGGTGGTTTTGATTTGTGCCTCATGTTTTCCCAATTAAGAGTTACAAAACACCCACTGGAATCCTAACAAAAGAGTTCAGCCAAGTCCAGCTGACTGAAAACTTTGTACCAATCCTGCCACATGCAGAGGTTGCCACATGCACAGAAAAAAAAAAAGTGGTTTAATTCATTTTGATGGCCCTAGAAATTGGCTTTTTTCAGTTGCTCTGATTAAATAAGTTGCTGTCGCTTCAGGTTTCTTTGTCCTGAAATGACCTGCCCTCAGGCAGGAGAGGTACAATGTGCTGTGCTCAGGATTTCAGTGCTCACCTTTGGGCCAACATTTGAGAGATGCAAGCATTGAAATACCTGAAGAGAACTCTTCATTTTCAGATGACCAGACTTAGCCTTCTCATTCTAACCCACAGAAATTCCAAGAAGGAAAGTTCAAGATATAAATATCATTAAAAACCTCTTTGGATATCTTAGCACTCTGCAGACAGACTCAGGGTTTTTTTTTTCCTCCCACCCCCTCATGTTAAATTTTGCTTTAAATAGTAAGAAAGCTGAAGTGGTCAAACATTCTGAGGCACAGAGGAAAAAGGTGCACAAAACCCTTTACGTTGAGATAAGACTGTTCCCCAAATGATTTAGAAGTTGGTTTCCTGCATGTTAAGAGGCTAAGAAAAATGTGTTTTCAATTACTCAAAAGAACACACAAAAAACAGGAGAGTTAGCAAGAATGTAAAACACCACCAGAGGTAACATCTCAAAGAGGTATAACATACATATGCAGATACTGAAACAGTCACTGCAGAACTGGTAATAAAATACAGTGAGAGAACATTCAGGACCATCCATTTCAGCAGAGGCACAGGTGCCTGCAGCAGAAGTTGGTCCTACCAGGATCCACAGCCTTTCAGCTCTTCCCTGTGCTGCTCCTTATTTATTCTAACAAACATCACCATTTCATAAATACCTGTTTCACTCTCAAGCTCCATTTTTCTCCTACCAGCAGTACACCCTGCAGTGCAAGTGGGGCAAAACCCATTCCTAACCCCCAATTCACAGCTTGTCATTCTGTGACATCAGTATCACTGGAAATCCAGAAGGAGCCAACCCCATGGTTACATTTTGCTTTTGCCATCAAGTCTTTTACTGCACAAAGACTGTGACAACAATTCACAACGATTTAGTTTCAAAGTGAGATGCAGGAACAAGGAAGAACAGACATGGACACTGGACAGAACAGCCTCCCAGGTGCATTTAGAGAGTAACACAGTTTCAGCTCCTGATGAGTGTCAAGAATTCTTCACGGGTCTTTGGATCCTCCCGGAACACCCCCAACATTGTGCTGGTTACTGTTTTACTGGTTATTTTCTGTACCCCACGCATTACCATGCACATATGCCTAGAAGAAATGAGAGGGGAGGCAATAAATCAGGCATCCTGAAAGGAAAGAGGTCATCCTACAGCAAAACATTTCTTCTACCATCACATTTCATTCTGGGAAGTGACAAAACCTCCATATCCAGCATGGCCACCTGTCAGTGGAAAAGAGATTCTCAGCCTCTGAGCTCTGCCTTCTCTCCCCCCTCAGATCTTAGGAGAATCCTACCTATCCAAGGTGCATTCTGATCCCAGGGACATGCCAGTCCAAGGAGAATCCCACCTATCCAAGGTGCATTCTGATCCTAGGGACATGCCAGTCCGAGGAGAATCCCACCTATCCAAGGTGCATTCTGATCCCAGGGACATGCCAATCCTAAGAGAATCCCACCTTCCCAAGGTGCATTCTGATGCCAGGGATGTACCTGTTGCTAGTCCCAAGCTTTGCTCCACCTGGGGAAGCAGCAGATGTGCTGAGGCAGAGCTCAGATCCAGTGCCACCAGGGCAGCTGACCACACTGCCAGTTGCCACATCCCTGCAGGGGACAAGGCAGGTCCCCACTTTGATGGCTCCAACCCACCCAGCCATTGGGCTGGGCAGGCAAGGATCAGCTCACAAACAAGCATTGGTGTGCAGCTGCTGCAGCCAAAGAGGCAACACACTAGAGCTCTGCAGCACCCAGCAGGGGTCACACAGGACCCCAGAACAGCTCAGAGTAACTCACGTGGCTTCAACCACCACTCCAACTCCAGCAGGCTGCAGGGCTTCCGTGATGGCTATTGCAATCTGCTTGGTCAGGCGCTCCTGGACTGAGAGAACCAGGGGGGGTTGAGAATCAGAGTTAGCTCTGACCACCACACCAGTGCCCCACCACTGCCTGGGTAGCAACCCTGCACCCTCCCTTCCATGTGTGCCTGATGCCCCCACCACCACCCGCCAGCTCTGCTCTCCCTAAATCCACTTTATTCATACCAAATCCCATCTTGCAGCTGGTATCCTGGCACAGACCTTTTATTTGCTAGTTTATATTGGGAGTCACTGTGCATTCCTCCTCTGCAGGGACTGCATTACCATGATTTGTTGTACCAGCTCTTGTGGTTCCTCTTACGCAGTTAAGATTTTTCTTGCTCCTCTATATTCTTTCAGTTTTTATATATTTGTTCACTGGCTTTACTGCTGCACTAGCCATTCCCTGCACAGTTTCTCTTGTGGAGAAAGGAAAGGGAGATTAAAAAATGAGCAGGTTAAGAGTATTGTCCTGCAAAGCTTTACTTCCTGCAAGCTCTAACACCCTCTATTCACCAGTCTGACTCTCAGTGGTCTCTAAGACTTCTGTTGCCAAGAACAGGCCAGATTTAACAGCAGGACAATGAGAGCAGGCTGAGCCCAACCCAAAGCCTTAGATCCTGCAGCTTCCTCCACATCCCAGGCCCAGCAGGCAGGCCATGACATGGCAGCTCTCACTCCACCTCTTCAGACAAGAATTCTTGAAGGCACCTCTCAAAGACCTGTAGGAGAGCTCATCTCCAGCAGCATCCAGCTAGCTCAGCCAGCCCAGGCAGCTGTGTCTTGCAACACATTTATCCTCTGAATCAGTTACTGTCTATTTCTGTTTTCATAGGCAGATTTTCCCCCTCACTGGAAACACAGGGGCTAAGACAGATGAGAAGCTCAACAGAAATTGAAGAACCTGGTGTTTTTCTTCACACTGAAGTTGCACACCTACAGCCCACCTGCAACCACCAGGACCCTGAGCCAGCTACCAAAAGGGTACACACAACAAAAACAAGTTCAGTGTTTACCTTGTAATCTTCTGCTGTATATTTCCACAATCCTGAAGGAGAAAAGGAAAGGACAACGTTACAGATATCCCTGTCTGCCCATTGCCTGATCTTCACCTGATACTATCACACAAGATGACTGTGCAGATGTGTCCCTGTTGGAAATCCATGCTGGCTGGCACTGCTCAGGGGCTTCCCTCAGCACATCCCTGTGTTCAGTAGCAAGTTCCCCCTACTTGCTACCCCCAGAGACAGTTTCAGGACACCTGTTACTCCTCCTCACATCTTCTTCTGTTGGCTGTTACTTTGGAATCACTCGTGCCACCACCCACCTGCAGAGGTGCAAGGGAATCCAAGCCTGAAGACTCCCCAAGAGCTAATCCTTGAACTCAGGATCCTTCAGGCCAGATTACCTCTTCTTGCTTCAATCTAAACCAAATGCTGTTTTAAGGACAACTCAGATATTGGGATTCCCAGCAGGCTACTGAAATTAAGCAAGAGATGTTTTGCATTCTTGCATTTCACCATAGAGTTAACTAAGAACAATGAGACTAAATTGTTTTTATTTAAACCAGATGCTCTCCACTCATATCAGACCATCCTTCACATTTCAGTGCAGGGATCACCTTAGTGCTCCTCTCAAACATGACTCCAAAGTTAAGCCACCCAAGGGGAGATGCAAGTGGCACTACCATCATTTATTGCCACAACATTATAACCCACACATTGAAGAAAAGTCTGGTAGCTGCTCTGTCACTCAATGGGTTATTGATGCCAACTTCAGATGCTTAATTACACATCAAGTGGCCATGTAAAGAAGTTGCTATAGAACACCCATCTGGTCAGAGTAGACAGAAAACAGACACAGCCTGTCAGCCTGAGGCACCAGTTACAAGGAACATTTCTGACAATGAGATTTGTCTGTTGTTTTGGAGAGACAATTACACACAGAAACTCCCCTCCAGAAATGAAATGGTTGTGTTACAGCTATTCTAAACAAAGCTACATAATCTTTATATTAACTATATGGATGGCAAACAAGCTGATGCTCAGATATTTTTTACACTGGCATTGCATGCAAGAAGCCCTATAAGCACAATTATATAAAACCAGTTATTTGTATTGGGATTTCCAAGCTTAAAATCCAAAGATGTTTGTTTACTGAATGCAGGTCATCCACAACTACAGAAACTCCCCACATTAGACAAATCCTATTACTAAAGATTAGGCCTACAGTACCAACAGCCTCACAGTTCTTTGTGTGAACACTGGCTGCATTATATAGGGCACAAAAAGGCAACACTACTTGGCCCACCCATCTCTCTCCATGCCCCCAAAAGCAAGTGAGGGCTGAGAACATTTTGTTATACAAGATTCTAATCTTTTCATTACTGCAGTATGTGGGAGTTTTACCCTAACTTGAAAAAACAGAGGCAAAATTTCACCTTTCAAGCACAGCACAGGAAGCTTTGCACACCCATCCAGGTCCCTATACTGAGAATGATCAGTGGGACAATTATACACTCCTAGCAACATGTTGCCACTTGCATTAAAAAAATATATCACTGAAGATAGTTCTGAGCTCCTTTCTCCACCTGCAATTCAGGGGAAACCAGGGACAAATCAACGGAGGCATATTTCATATGTGATCCTTCCTCCTGCATTCAAGCCCTGCAGAAAGGAAGCCAAGAGCTGAAGACAGTCTCCTCAGCAAGGATGCTCAGCTTCAGAACTCCCAACTCAAAAAATTAATCCCTCACCCCTTTGAAAGACCCAGCCAACACAAACCCAAGCCATGAGTAGCCACACAGATGTCCCCAAGCCTAAGCAACTCCAGAAGGCAAAGTCACCCACCCAGGAACTGCAGTGCTGTCGGCTCAAAACCTCCTCACAATGTCAGCCACAGAAAACCTGTACCAAAAACTTAACTCTTGAGCTGCCTGCTCCAGCCTTTTCAGAGCAAACCCACTCCTACAAGCACTGCTGGAGGACAGGGAGATGTCCTCCCTGTGTTATGAGGTCACATTAAAAGAGATGCCACCTCCAAGGGCCCTTCCACTCCCAACCCAAATTCTGTGCTCTGTTTGCACAGCAGTGAACAGAACTGACTGACTTTAAAACGTTTCAGGGCCATATCCTACACAGCAGGTGTGCAGATTTACAAGGCTAATTCTCATTAGTATTATTGGAACTACGGTAAGATTAACAGATACATCAGGAAAGCATAAGCAAAACCTACATGGTCTTTCTGAACTACAGCCAATTTTTCAGATTTGTTTCTCAAAGGAGACCCTTCCACTCCAGTCCCAAATAATCTGCTTTTTGAAGGGATCTCCCATCTCTTCCCTCACCAGAACTGGAAAGTGTCACTTGATAACAAGGCTTGGTGCAACAACAGATCCAAGGGCACTTGCTGAGGAAAAAGCTATTTTACATAACAGCTGGATTTCTCCAGTGTATCATAACTGCTTTGTTTCTTAGGCTGAACCTTATCTGTAAGAACTACCTCAGGGCTCTCTCAGCAAGTTTTGAGTGAAAGAAAGAAATGCCAAATTTCTCTGAAGAGTCAGCTAAGAGATGAGAGGTTTAGATTCAGTTTCTATCCACACAACGTGTTCATTTACAGTTTGGAAGTTTTGGATTTTTGTTCTTCTCAATATGCACATGAATCATAAACAGCTGGAGATCCCCACTGGCTTTTGTGGCCTGCCTTTGAGACCAAATTCTCTGCTGCTCTTGCCTCTGTGCTCCCCAGAGACATCAGCACTTGGGGTGAATGTACAGAAGTGTTACAGCTCCAACCACGGTTGACTGATGGGAATCAACACAGAGCTCTAAGACTGATCTGTCCTCTCCCCATAAACAAAATGCTGAGAGTTGGTCTAAATCCAAATCCAGGGCGCAGTGGGCTGAGCTTTAGAGGGGGACCAGATTAGAAAGATTAGCACAGCTTGGAATCCTTTTTACAAATTAGCACCACTTTCATTACAGTAACACTTACCTAGCAAGCTTGCTGAGGCCAAGTACTTGTTTGTTAGGAAGGTAACCAATATGTACCTAGACAGAGGAGAACAAACCATTAAGAGAATCAAACCCACCCTTCCAAATCCATATGAAACTCATGCAGAGAGAAATGAAATGTGCATTTGCCCCAGAAATAACTCTGGAACAGCCCAGAAGTCTTAACTTGTGGGAGGAACATGCCACCATGCAAGCCTGAAAAATTTGGAGCAAACAGACTGTAAATGCCTGGTGAGGTCAGTGTCCTGGTGAAGAATAAATCAAGTTTTCTGAGGTGGAGAAAAATCACAACTCTTCTAGAGCCCAGGCTTATGTTCCAAGTCTCAGGAATGCTACAGATTACTTCTACATTTGGGTACTAAAAGCAGTCTATTACTCAGCACAGCACTGTTCATCTAAAATAAGCTTTTCTTTCAAGACCTAAAATGGATTTAGGGAGGAAGCCCAAGAGGAGCTGTTCTTTACTTCCAGTTAAAAGTCCTGATGGCAAGAATTACTTAGCCACCAAACCCAGGCTGCACTTATTGATTTCTTTTTCCCTGCTATTGGTAGTACCATAAATCACTGTAGGATTAGGTCAGCTTCCATCCTGCTTGAATATGGATTTGCTGAACATTTGTCCTGAACACAGAATTGCACTAGGTTGGAACAAGTTCTGGAGAAGAAAAGTGCTCAGATACAAGGGTGTGGGGGGAAAGCCACTTAGCTTCTTGTTTTTAGAAACCCACACACATGGTACTGAATCCAAGTGGGTTTACAGTTATAACAGATAAGGCAGCATTTGTGCCACTGTACCAGAGACTTGAAAAATGAGCCAAGATACAGTAGGGAAGTGTCAGTGGAGGATTCTGTCTGTGTGCTTTGCCTAGCAGCCCCATCTCAGAATCCTGTACTGTTGCACCTGCAGGTTGAGGTACCACAGTGCACCTAATTACCTGGCTAATTTGCTCATTCCTATCACTTCTGTTGGGTAATCAACCCACTGACACCTGAAAAGACATGAAACATTTCAGATAAAGAGACATCACTTAGAAATAAGCATTGAATCCTGTACCCCAGAGTATTGGTGTGAATTTCTTGATTTCAGAACTGCAGATACAAACCCAACTGGTCAGTATGTGCAGCCTGTTTGATGTACCCAACAGGAGAATGGTTACTCTGAGAATATTTAGAGGCACATCAAGCCATTTGGCAGACCATTACATGGGCAGGACTAGTTCAGTGTTTGTGGGGAGACATCTCCAAACCACACAGGCTCAACAGGAGATGTACAAAGAATGCATATTGTCACTGGAGTAAAAGGGAATGTACAGTGTGTAACCAAGAACAACAGGTGAAACACAGCTTGCCTAGAAAAAGAAGTCACATTGGTTTCCTGTATAGAATACCAACAGTAAGAAAAGAAAGCAGATGAAATGGACTTAACTCAACTACATAAACAGCTGATTAGTGTTTGGGTATTTTATTTTTGGGAGACAGTTCACTTGGGGCATGTCTAGTACTGATTATTACAGAAAACAGAAGCACTTGCTCCTCTCTGGATGCCAGTACTTTTTGGTAAAGCAGATGGGGCAGAATAAGCTCCATCCTTCTGTGCTGATGAGGGAGTGCAAGGGCTGAGATGTGCAGGAGGAAGTACCCACTCTGAACTCTTCATCACATTTACACTGGTTATCTCAAGAATTTCTGTTTTCTTTTTTAAGTTGTTGGCCTCACAATTCCAAGAGTCTCTAAACCACCAGCAGCCCCTTCCATGGGAGTCCCAACCTAAGCAGCCCTCCTGCTAAGTCAATTTTGACCACCCCCTCCTTGCTTGCTTAAGACAAGGCTGCTTAATCAGAGGTTTACTCCACCCACAGGGGGGTTCCTGAGATGAAGGAGCACTAAATAGAGCTCAGAGCCAAAAGCTAAATCCATGACAGAGCCAGCGTGCAGGGGGAGCCAGTTTAATATCAAGATGTCTGCCCTCAAGGCTTGTGGCTGCTTCAGGAAGAGCAGCTTTGATATGAAATGTCAGAAACCATTAGATTACTTAGACTAGGAAAGGTTAAGCATTGTATTTTAGGAGCTTAAATTCAAATCAAACTCACATTAAGGAGGTCTTTCTTATTTGTACTCTGAAGATTAACTTCTAGAATCATAGCCACAAGCAGTAAATACTTACAGCTTTAAAATCTTTGTAGTTCCAGCTACAAGGTTCTTTTACATGTACTTTAGGTCTTTTATCATGTATTCCCACATCTGTTTTGTGAGGAAGAGTTACCTTTCCAACAAATGGAACGAGGTGATGCTCACACAATGAGAACATGTCTATGTCCTTCACAATTACCATCTCATCATGATCTTCATCAAAGATGGCGTCATTCAGAACATCTGAAACCAAACATTGGCATTAAGAAAAAATACACAAGTGCACAAAGCATGGAAGGTTCTCCCAGGCAGCATCTGAGAAAGCTTGTAGCAAGGGCATAGCTCTCTCAGAACTATGGATTTTAGGTTTGAGATACAGGAGGAGAGTAAGGAGGAACATGGCAAGACCACTTGGGTTTGCACATGAGCACACAGCTGCCATGGTTCTGGTCAGGCCACCTGTGTGCTGCACCAGAAGTCAGCCTCTAGTGCTTCATTTAAATAATAGTTTGAGCCCCAGCTAGAACAAGCCTGCCTGATTTCAAGAAGTGTTTGGATAATGCTCAGACACATAGTGAGAGTCTTGGGGTGCCAGAGGGGCAGGAGTTGGATTCAATTATCCTGATGGGTCCCTTCCAGCTCAGCATATTCTATGAGTCTACTCTTTGCAGAATTATTGTCATCTTGAGAGCAACAAAAAACCACAGCTGACAAAGCCAATGCTGAGGAGAACACATCTCCAAGTGGGATTTGATTAGTGTTTCTATGTGCCCCTGGCAAAGCTGAGCCTGAGGTTTGAGAATAGCGAAGCCACCACAGCAGCTTCTTCAAACAACTCAACACCAGTGTCCTCAAGAAGGCTTTGCATGCAAATAAAACACTTCCTTTCATCCTGAAGCACACCAGGCAGCAGCTCTTCAGGCAAACAAGAGTCAGAGAGAGATTTGTATCCAGAGGTTGGGGAAAGAGATCTGCTGTCCTGAAAGGAAGCAGGCATGCACATCCATCCTCCAGCCTAATTCTGCATCCCAGAACTAGCAGAGAATTGAGGTGGAGAAACCCACAAAGATAGAAGGAAGAGGAGACAGCTCAATAACTAAAAGAATGAGTCTCAAAGCTCAGCAGAACAGATCCTCAGTTGGTCTTCCAGATTTAGCAGTCCTGCAACACATGCTCAGGCAATCCTGACACAGGTTACAGCAGATCCCTATAGACTCCAGGCAGCTGGACCATGCTTGGAGGATACAACAGTCTCAAGTCAAAAGACCAAGCCTTTCAAAGGACAAGAGGGAAGAGCTGTATAGAAGGGCCAGGTTAGAGAGGCTAGCAAGAGAGAACTAGCTGTACAGAAGCTAACCAGAACAAGGAATTCTGTGAACAAGTCAGCTGGAAGCCACACTGACTACTGGGAGTTATTTCCAGGAACCAGGGCCTCACACACCATGGCCAGAAGGGGAATCAGGGTGCTGAGGGACTGCCCAGCTTCACCCATGGTGAAGCTTAGCACCCACAGTGGCAATGACACAAATCTAATTGTTGTGCCTGCTCTGCTTGCCTTTGTGCCTCCCCCTGCCACGCACACACACCCAAGGGCCACCAGCTGCTGTCGATAATGTCTCATCATCACCCAGCATTTTAATTTCCTGCCTGCTATCAGCACTACACAGGTAACCCTGGAAACTGTGCACAAGATGTTCTGCCTGCGACGCACGTTCTCTGCTGAGAAGGGCTGGCAACCTGCAAGGCAGCCAGGCTGAACCCCAGAAGGCTCCCGAGCAGGTCAGAGAGCAGGAGGAAGGGGCACAAAAGCAGCCAGGAAACAGCTCTGTCAAGGCACATACTCTTATTCTTCAGATGTCAGAGTTTAGTTTACTCCAAACACTGCTGGCAAGTTGTTTTTTTTCTTACATGGGGAGCACCATGCAGTTCTATAACTATGAATTCAGCCAGGAGCAGCCAAAATCCAGACAGAGCAGGCTCAGAGGAGAGGGAAGGGGAGATGGAGCAGCCACCTGGGTCCTCAGCTCGCTCCTGCAGACCTGCCATTTCCACAGCAGAAAGGCAAACAGTGGTTTCACAAAACCTGCTACTGTGCCCATTATTAAAGCAAAATCCAAACAGATCCACGAAGCATCTCCAGAGTGATTGCTGCTGTTATTAGATCACCAGCTTGGCTCATACCAGCCTTGCCAGGAGCATATCAGAGCCTGATGTCAGATAGGGATTTACGTCAGCCTGCTCACAAAGCAGACTGTCCAGAACCATCAAGAATGGCCACCTTCTCATTAAGGCATGGTAATGTGTGACAGGGCAAGGCCAAAGCCTCAACAGAAGGTACTTCAACCATGAAGTCTCATATGTGTGTATTTATATCTACAGACACACTTATTCATGCATAAAAGATGAGTCAATCCTTTCAAACTTCACCTAAGGAACCTAAGTCTATTCCTGAAGAGCTGTGGTGTATCATGGAGGCAGCTGTTGGTCCTGTTTTAAACTTGGGGGGAAAAAAGAAGGTGAAGTGACCTCTGAAGTAGCACAGAGGCCACTTTCAGGAACAAAATGCATCCTTCTCATGGCTACAGCCCAGAGTCACAGCAGCCTGGGCAATGCCAAGGGAGTTTGAGGTGTGTAAGCAAACAGATCCTTGCATCAGGAACATAACCACAGAGCAATGGGGTGCTTCTCACTTCTCACTTATACAGGCCATGCCAATTTTGCACCTTAGGTGAGTTTAACACCAGCAGCAAGTTGCAACCAGAGCCCAGATAATACCTGTCCAGCTGCATAACCTCTGCAGTGCTGCCTGCAGCAAGGGGTGCTGATTTTAAGTCAGCACCAGTCACTCCTTTTCAAGGAGGCCCAGAGCCTCTAAAAGAAGAAACCAGCCTGGTGTTGGCCCTCCAGTAACCCCCTCACAACTGCTAGATTATACAGGGGCACAAGGTAAAACAAAATGGAAGACTGAAGACCACGACCTGAGTAAATATCTGTGGTGTGAGAGGAGAGCCCCAGTTACCTCTACCCTGCTCACACTCCACAAGCCTGTTATCCTGCAAATGAGCACAGCTTATTTGTCCATCCCTACACCTCCCCCTTGGAAATCCAAGCCTTGTGTTGACAAAATAAGAGTTGGGTCAGAGTAGCTGCAACAAGATTCTCTGCCATGTCCCACCACAGCCTTTGTCTTCTGTCATTACACAGGAGAGGGGTTTGGCAGAGACTCAAACACTTTGTGCAGGGAGGCAACACCATTTTATCTAACCTTGTCTGCCTATTTTTCAGTCATTCAACTCGAAACAGCATCAAACAGGGCCTCGAGAAGCTCAGCCTGCAGCACATGTTCTGGTGAACTTAAGAGCTGAAAGGAGAGAAGGGGAAACAAGGCCCCAGATTAACCAGGCCAGAAGAAAAGCTGAGGATGAGTTTGTGCCTCTTTTCCCATTCCTTCATGCTGCCTACTAGGGCACACACCTGCTTCACTAGCTTGATTTTTGTTTCCTCATTTGAAGGCCACTCAGGGCAAGACCTAAGAGTCATGGTGCCCCTGCCCAGCCCTACCCCACTTCACACAGAGCAATGTGGCTGTGCCTCTCAGCTCCAAAATACCCACCTGCATCTTTGCTATCCCTTCCTCCTGTAACACCAGGATCTTAGAAACAAAAACATAGAAGAAAGGAGGGCTAGAAGTAACTACTGTTAAGTTTCCTGGCAAAGCAAGGCACCTGCAGCTCAAATGGACTCCTGCTCAACAGGCTACTTTTCCTTAATTCATAAAGGAGATTCCTCCTCTCAAATGAAGCACTTTCACTCCCTCCAAGAACCACCTACATAACCCTCCACATCAGTAGGACAGGACTAGTGTCTCCTCTGCTAGCAAGAAGATGGGCATGTTCATAAATCATCCCTCTTAGAGTTGTACCTGCCCTCACTTCACTTTCATTAGTGGCAGCTGTGCTCAAGTGCTGCCACCAAGCCCTGTCTATAAGCTAAAAACAATTGCAAATAACATCATTTTCATTCTCTACCACCCCAGAAAATCTGAGGGTATTTACTGCTCAAGTCCTTAAGTCTAGACACATCATGTTAAAAAGCTAAAATTCAAATTAAAACAAATGACTGGGAGGACAGGAAGAAGAACAAACATTTTATGCAGATTTGGGGGTGTTCTCTGCAAGTGATTCCAGCTGATTTTCCTTCAGCTCAGAGTTCAAGTCCTCTTGGAGAAACTTCAGTGGGCTCTTAAAAAATGAACAGTCACCTCTGCTGCAAGGTAACTCCTGAAACAGAGCAGAATTAATTTTCCCCCCTCTCTTTATCTTCAAAAAAAAGTTGATAAAAGCAAAAAACAGAACTGGCTGAAGACAGATTGAGAAAGACCTTTCAGGATCCTACGTCACAGCTAAGCAAGAAGACCTGTTGCTATAGAAACTATTTGCATGGCTTTAATGTGACACAGGGAAGCAAAAGCACCTCTGGCAAGTGAGGACACCAGAGCCCACCCAGCAGCTGGATGAGGAGGGCTGGCAGCCCTCTGCAGAGCAGCACTGTACCAGCTCCACAGCACTTCAGATGTCCCCTTTTTACTGTGCCTGTGAGAGAGAGACAACTGCAGTGATGTAGGTTGCTCTCACCAGGAGCTGAAGTGGTTCCCCTCACTGCTGCTCCACTTCTGAGGCATCAGACTGAGGGCTGCTCAGTGTCAATGGATGAAGGCAGGCTCAGAGATTCCCTGAGACTGTTCATGAGCTCATCCATCCTGGCAGACACCTAAGGCTCTCCTGACAGCCTTACACAGCTCCACACTGTCAGCCCCTGTGCTCTCCATGGTGACCAGCAGGCAGCTGAGCCCATCACAGAAATGGGTTCTGGCCAAGGGACCCTCCTGTGAGGGCAATGGGGCAAGTCACACCATACCTGGGCCCATTAGCTTGAAGCAACTTAGAGGGTAAGGTCAGGCAGCCTCTCTCTCAGAAACACCAACTAAGTCACACCAAAACCTCTGGCAGGGCACCTTAGGTGAACCAGGAGCAGGTCATGGTTTGGAAGATACTCCAGAAGAGCAATGACACCAGCCAGAGACCAAAGGGTAACTGCTCATCAGGGCAGAATGAGCTGGGGGGGATGTTGGCAGATGTCTTTGGCTGTGTCCCTCAGCAAGAGGTTCCTCTTCATCAGAAGACAGATGTAACTGATAGAGCATGAGCTGAATGTGGTAGGGAAACCAACTGACTGCTGGGTCAGAAT